GACAACTTGGTTGTGTGTTTTGAAATAAAACATGTTTTCCCCCTCAGATCAGCCACCTCCAGAGGGTGCTAGAGGCAATAGTGGCTGTGCCTGCTCTGTGGGAGGTAATGTCATAGTTAAATAAATGCAATTGATGTTTCATGTTACATTTTCATAAGTAAAATAAAATATAGTCCCAAAAGTGTACGTGATAATGCAGTCATGGTTACAAAATGTCGTTTCAGTTCAGTTTTATTTTTTAACGCAGGGTCAGCTGTAGAATGAAACTGTACATTATAGATATGAGAAAGTGATCAATGTGTATAAAAGTGACAGGTATGAAGAGTATTGAAGATCACTGTTATGAATATATAAACATACTATATAGATGTACTACATTATATATGTATAAGTATTGCTCATTGTGTATGTATCAGTCCTGGTACAATAGTAGCATTTTAATAGTGCATTTTATAGTCACAGCAGTCTTAAAGAGTTGAAAAACCTGGTGTTAACACAGGAAATGCCAATTGGAGAGGGGGGTCAGCTGTTGAGCCAAAAATAAAAACACCTCCAACCATCACGGCCGCAGCGTGACCAGATGAAAGTGATAATAGAGAAATGGTTGCCAAGTAAATTTCCTTTTGTTATTTTCTCCCCAGATTTCTAGTTTCTCCAGGACCTGGAGAAGTATGATACTGGCACCTTTTGTCTCAGGTACTAATTTATATATATATATAGAGATATAAATCTATATTACAGAGAGCAAGACAATATGTTAAATACTGAGAAGATGGTGATAGTGAGTAAGTAAATACACAGAGTTATTACATGTTTTCATGAAGCTTTTAAATGCTCCTGACTGTCTTATCTCTTTTCTTGGTGACAGCTTCTGTTCCTCTGAGTCCCGATCAACAGGCAACACTCTATAGGACGTTTGTTCTCCTGCTCAAGTATGCTTTACTCATCTTTAACCATTTATCACCAACTGTTCTGCATGCTAGCACAATGTAGCACTTTTATGGAGTGATATTACTAGAATACAAACATATCTTGAAAGATCTCCTCCAGTTATACACTGAGACTTATAAATAGTTACAAATAGTCTGCTTGTAACAATAATGTGTGTCTGATATGGTTGGGGGCACACCAGTGGCTGTTATGTGAACTGCAGTCAAGTGACATAAACTAGACTGAAAATAAATTACAGTGATATTTCGAATAACATTAATATCTGCAATGTTCCTCTGTTTTATTTGAATCATTGACTCCATACTACTAACTAGCTTGCCATTTACAAATCAAGCCATCATCCAATGCCAGACCCACACCGTGCGGCTGAGCCACAGCCAGCCGGTTAACCCTAGCTTAGTTTACAAGGCGGATGCCCCTGCCTTGGTACACTCTTCACTAGTTGAAAGCACGTTGTTTGCTTTGTACCTTTACATCATTTATATGGAACCTTTAAAAATTGCATCTACTCCTTCTACCTCATTTAAAAACTCCAGAATCTATAAATATGCAAATTAGTTTAGTTAGTTAGTTTCTTCAGTCCTACCAAAGTCTATTCTCAGTGTATGTGGACTGGTAGCTTCACATTTCAACATCATACTTATGTAAGTTGCAGACGGGAGCGCAGCCTAGCATTTAAGTGTCAAACTGCACATACATCATTCTGCACAGTGAATATCAAACATAAATAGTCAATTTGGTTTAATTTTAACACCTAACTCACAAAATTCTGACTGTCCTGCCACTCATCTCTCTCCCCAAGGTGCCCTTTCCTGTTGAATCTGGACCTGATAGGAATTGCCAATCGCTTTGCACAGTTCAATCTGCCAGCCTTTGCCCTGGGAACTCTCCTTCTCATACCCTGTGCCAATAAAAAGGCACAGCAGATCCAGGTGAGTCAATACAACATGTGAGAAGGAACTGTCTGGAAGATCTTCTACATCTTTTAGGGCATAATTAAAACCACATTGTCTTGACCGTCACTGTCTTTTTGCTGTTTCCAGGGCTTTCTGTCTGTCTGTAACCCAGTCGCTGTCCTTGAGCAGGTGGAGGAGCTTATGAACACTGGGGAATTGGCTGGAGTTCCCTCACAGGTTAGATGTCAATTTAGGTTAAATGTTTCCACTCTTTGCCTCCTTCACTTCACCCAGCCCTTACACTCGAACTGGAACTACATCTTGTTGTTGTAACAAAATACATACCCAATATATGGTATGTATTTTTTGGGGATGGAAACATTGAATCAGCTGCAGCATCAGTGAAGGTGTTAAACCGGAAGCTGAGATGGCTCTGATCGTATGAAGATATTAAAGTTAAGTTTGGCAGTGTTGTTATAAACATAAACAAAAGTGATCTCTAGCACATTTAAATATATTTGCATGGTTGTATCCAAAACGAAAAGAAATGGCAATAAAAGTTGCATTGTATTATATTACATGATTACAAGACATTACAATATTACCTCTGTGATTCCTCAGGTCAGGGAGACTGTATTAGCTTTCATCAATGAAAATGGACAGCACCAGAAACTGCTGAAGACCAAACACTTCAAGCATCTGGAGCAGCTCATTGTGTCCAGTGGTCAACCTAACCAGGTGAAAGACTTGGTGGACTATCTGATCAGCCAGAACTGGTAAGTTTTGGGAGTTTTTTTGGTTGGTTTGTTTGTTTGTTTGTTTGTTTGTTTTTAGCAAATTAAAAAACAACATAATACAAGGATCTATGCGTCATAACCATACACAGATACATTAACTGAAGTTGCATGTGGCTCAGTAATAATAATAATAATAATAATAATAATAATACATTTCTTTTATATAGGGCTTTAAAAGGTACTCAAAGACGATTTACATGGTGACAAAAGAAAAACAACAGAAAGAGTAAAGGCAATATCAGTATAAAAACAACTATAAACAAAATAATCAAAAGAGCATGAAACAAAAAACAAAAAGAAAACAGGTGGAGCGATGAAAAGCGGAGAAGGCGGGGTGATAGATCAGAGAAAGCAGATTTTAAATGGATTGGTTTTGAGTTTAAAGGACGCAAGTTGTGACTGTCTGAGGTGTAGGGAGAGAGTTCCAGAGGGAGTTTTTCTGCACAGTTTGTAGATGTGGTCTTTAATTACTTTTACTTTTTCAACCTTTTCAAATGTGAAATTTGAGTTCTTCATATCAGTTTCCTTTTAATCTTCTCTTCAGTCAGGATGATGCTGACTCACTTGCTCGTGAGTACATGAAACACAGAGAGCATCAAAGAGGGAAAACGCTGACAAAAGGCTCAACTTCACGGAGCAGCCTGAAGGTAAGTGAAGCTGGACCCAGTTTATTCCTGGATACAGTGGAGAATAAGACAGAGAGAAACCTTGGGTTTGATGACATAAACATACAGTATAAGTTCTGATATATATAAGATTAATTTAAGTAGATTTATTCCTCTTATTAGTTCAGATTGTGTACTTTTGTGTTTTACCATTATCACTTTGATTATCAGACTGTTATAGACTCATAATTCTACTTTTTTTTTTTTTTCAGGAGTTTCTCAACAAGCAAAATGGAGTTTCAGGATGAACTGACACTATTTCTGCAGCTGTATTTATGTATTCTTACTTGGTCTGTCTTGGACTGAGATGCAACATTTGCACTTAACATCTATCTTCCAGTTGTTCTTGTACCATTTGAGTAAATGGTTTACATTATTGATTGTGTAGAGGAATTTATGAAAAGAAACTTAGTGTAGACTCAGCAGGCTATTGATCCACTTTTATTTTATAACCTCCTGCCTTGTTTATGAATATGTGTATATTGTTATAATTGCTGGCTAACATGTTGCAGAAGAAACCATCTTATGAATGGATGGGATAACAAATAGGAATTTGCTTGTCAGTCAGATAAAATAACTTGAATGTCTAAAATATACTCAAAAAAGTACCTAGATTGCCTCTGCCTATTTAACTGTATTTTCTTTGTATTTTTATTTGTTTTGGTGCATGCACATTAATAAAAGTACATAAATCTTTTGTTGGCTTTTGTTTTGTTTAAGTTTTTGTTGTAAAAATCTTACTTTCACACTTAAAAAACTAAGTTTACGGTTCCTGCCTCACAACCTGAGTTCATATTTAGTAACCACTATTTAGATGGGTTTTTTTTTTTTTTGTCATAAGTTTCATTTGCAGTCATACAACTACCCACGCATCATTTGATCCCAGACATGCAATGAAGGCCAGAATCACATTCAGTTATTTCACCAGTCTGAACCAACTTCCCTTTTAAATTCACTTGAATTTGGAAAATGATGAATGTCATGTAGAAAGCTGTGTCAGCTGCTTGCTGCGTAAGTTATGTCTGTGTTAAAATTACACAACACATCAAAGCCCAGCCTAAAATTAAATTAGTGTTACTGTTTGATCTCATATTAGAAATACATGTCATCCACTAATGTCTGCATTGTAAGACCTGAGGTTTATTAGTATCCTAACTGCTAGAAAATCTTATCAGGTATAGTAATTCTCTGCTCATTACCTGGCATTGCAGATTCTGTATGAATGGTAATATGTTGCAATAGGTATTACTGATTCACACCACTTCCCTTTGTGTTTAGAATAAATGAAAGAACATTTATGTGCAGTGTTATTGGGACATCAGATATCAAACACCAGCAGCTGCTAAGTTTTAGTCTTTTTAAAAACACAGTTGTGTGTCATGCTGTTCACTCATTCATTTAAATTAAGTTAGTATGTGTAATGTAATGCCTTCACACATCTCTTAATATGACTTGGTATCAATGTGATAGTAAATCACATGATGTGAGAAAGCTATGAGACATTGTGTGATTATTATTATTTTTTTTTAATAATAATTATATTGTTCCTATCGATAAAAGATGACAACATAATGTTTGAGAGTTAAAAAGAATATAGTCACAGCTTTATAATAGGATATGTTTCACAAAAGACATATTAACAAAAGTGCCGTCATATAGATGAAATGTATAAAAATAACACAACTAACAACTTAAGGCAATATTTTATATATGTAGTAGCATTTCTGTATAAGAAAAGTAATATCTTGCTGTAGCACTTACTTAACACAAACACAGCTTTGGCATGTTAGTTCATTAGTTAGTCCATCTCAGTGATTTCCTTGACTGTGGCTTTGTGATCACAGCTGGCTGAGCGACTGGGAGCCTGTTTCCTGAGGTTTCTTCTCCGTACTTTCATCAGTCTTTGTTTGGGGCAGATGAAGAACTTTCCTGCAGATGTTCTTGATTGTAGAGCTGGAGAAGTAGTAGACCACAGGATCCAATGCGCTGTTGAGATAGGTCAGGCTAAGGGTGATGTAAAATGCGGTGGTCAAGTTCTCCAGGGCAGGGCACACTTGGGATGTGGGGAGGGTTTTGGCTAGTTGATTGGTCTTGATCCAGATCACCAGGTGCATGATGTTGCTCGGGAGGAAGCAAATGAAGAAGAGCACTGCCACTACAATGATGTGGCACAGAGCCTTCTTAATCTTTGCATGTTGGGCCAACTGTCTCCCTCTCAGGTGGCGAATAATGCTGATTGTGCAGTAGAGAATCACAAGCAGAGGTATAATGAAGGCAAAGGTAAACTCAAACTTATGCCAGATCTGATTATGTTGGGGTTCAGTCTCAATCATGAAGCTCTCGCATGAGGTTGTGTTGATATGTTGCAAAGTGAAGACATGAGCTGTCATTGAGATGGTGAGCAGCCACAGTACAAGAGCCCCACACATGGCTTTGGAGACACTCAAAGAGTTGATGGGATGATGGGGATGCACCACACGCATGTACCTGTCCACAGCTATAGCCATCAAGAAGCAGGTACTTCCACTGCGGTTCAACGCAAACATGAAGAGGCAGATGTTGCAGAGAGTGCCTCCAGACATCCATTCAATCTTAGAGCTGTAGTAGCTAGCACGGAAAGGCAAAGCCACACTGAGGACAAAATCAGCCATTGCCAGGTTGAAGAGTAACACCGTGCTGCTCTTCCAGGGCCTCAGGTGGAAGCAGAAGATCCAGAGAGCAAAACCATTTCCAAGGATTCCCAAAAAAAACTCTGTGAACAGCAGTGGAGGGAGCACCCTGATCAGCAGAGTCCCATTAAAATGACATTGCATGTTGAGTTACGTTCTGTCTTGCTGGCTGCAGATGAAAGAAATAAGCCCTTGAGGGCTGTCTTCATTCTTTAAAGGGAATGTCTAAAAAAATACGTGGTTGTGGTTTTGGCACTTGCAGGAAGCCTGTGGGTTTTCATATGAATGAACATTAACTCTTGCCTAATGATGTTTTTTCTTTCGAAAATGATCCGTACTTCCTGTTATGGCCCAAGCACACTTAAGTAAGAAGGCCCTATTGGAATTGCTTTGGTTATCATTATCAGTCCAAATGAAGCCCATGTTTGAGGGTCTAAAGGTGCTCGAAATCTCATAAAATGCGGCAGACGGAAATTTACATCTTATATGGGTCTTGGGCATGGGTGTGGCAAAATGGCTAGGCCCTGTAAAGAGCAACCACTACGGCATGTTTCACCAGTATGCATCAGTATAATCAGTAGGCATGTATATCCTGTCCAAACAGACAGAAAGCCTCTTGTAGCAATACCCTCAACCCAACAGGACGTTGGCCATTGTAAATTTAGTGGTTATATATCGAATTAAGTTTTGATTTAGCTATCCAATGAGAACTTGAGTGTACATGGTCAAATCCCAAACTGCACATTATTTGTAGGAGTCCTGGCCTGAACACATCTACATGGCAATATTAAGTCATAATCAAAGTAAATACTTTGGGTGAATAAAACCCCTATTTTTCCACCTTTACCTGCTCCATCACATATAGGCAATAGCTGAAAATGTAGCCCGTTTACAGACTTCCAGAATCGAAAGCCACGTTGCAGATTTATTCAGCAATTTAGCTAGAATTAATGAACACATGAGCTGCAGAGGTGTGAAGTAATCCTTTTGTGAGATGCATCACCATTGTACTGAAATATGTCATTCACAGCCTTCAGAGGAAGACCGGTGTGTGCAGCTGACTTTGTGTGAGTAGATCAGAGTCATTATGAAACACCTCTGCTAAGGCAGACACAAATGTAAACATCATCTTAATGAAACTGGACTATTTAATCTGAACTGCACCCACTGACATTTAAATTACTGAGGAAGATGGTCTAAGGTTATGGGGGTTTGTAAACCTGTACTGCTGTCTAGTGGTTAATATTTAAAGTGCTTCTTTTGCTGTATGTTTTGGAGACTGTGTCATGTGAAGCATATTTCCCTGAGTCATTTCTTTAAAGTGACCTCTAGAGTGGTGGAGTGGTGGTAATTTTAATAGGGTACCCTCAGTTCAAATGGTTTTCTGCTCTCTGCAAGCTATGAAAAGATACAGTCAATTAGGATCTGTTTGGCTGTTGGTGATGTCTGGCTGAAGATCTAAACTTTGGGGTCAGTATTTGTGACTTAATTATACAGTATACACTTAAAGTCCCTCACATCTTTATCTAGTTAGTTGTATCATAAGATGGTTGGTTTTAATGTACTCCCCAATAATCCTGAGCAGGAGGCAGCGCGGGCCAGAGGGGAAGACCTTTCCGTCAAAGCTGCAGTTCCTATTTAATACTGATAGAATCGTTAATGGCACAGTTAATTTAAGGCTTAAAGGATATTTAAGGGATATTACTTGAAGTGCTACATATTTGTCTCTCAACTGGAGGCATTAAATATCCCTTACACAGTGCAGTCTTTCCTCAGTAGTCCCAAAGAGGGCTTGGTTAAAGGGCTGTGGAAGAACCACAGTCATGAGCCACAGGTACTCTCTAACTGAAAACATCAAAACTATACCAGCTAGTTACTTCATTACCCTACTTCACTGTTTTATAAAAAAAAGAACTGAGCACAGTACAAGACATACAAAAAGATTTTTGACAAAATCCTTGAATACATTAAATAAAAACAACATGGTTGTGTGTTTTGAAATAAAACATGTTTTCCCCCTCAGATCAGCCACCTCCAGAGGGTGCTAGAGGCACTGTGGGAGGTAATGTCATAGTTAAATAAATACAAATGAGGTTTCATGTTACATTTTCATAAGTAAAATAAAATATAGTCCGAAAGTGTACGTGATAATACGGTCATGGTTACAAAATGTCGTTTCAGTACAGTTTTATTTGTCATATGTAGGTTAACACAGGGTCAACTGTACAATTAAATGTGTTGGATGAGAAGAGACAGGTCAGCAGTAAGAGCACTAGCCATATAAGGATCAAATAAGATAAAGATATATCAAGTGTGCATGGAGTATAAGAGTTTCACTGCAAAAATATGTACATACTTAAATATAAATATGCTATAACACTATAGATATGAGAAAGTGATCATTGTTTATAAAGGTGACAGGTACAGTATTGAAGATGTATCACTGTTATGAAGATATAAACATACTATATTACATTATATTACATTATATGAATATATTAAAAAGAAGATTGTGTGCAAAAGTAATGCGTGTGGCAGAGAGGGGGGGTTTGTATGTAACTATAGTTAAATGTTATGTGACTAACCACTGACCCACTGGACGTCCCACTGGAGCAGATGTTAAGCCAAAAATAAAAATGCCTCCCACCATCACTGCTGCTGACATGTGATTAAAGAGAAATGGTTGCCAAGTAAATTTCCTTTTGTTACTTTCTCCCCAGATTTCTAGTTTCCTCTGAGGAGTAGCAGGAGCATTACACATACCAAAGGGCACTAAATTGTGTTGTGGGAAACTGTCAGGGGTCATAAAGGGACATGACACATGTTGCAGGACCAATTTAATCAATGCAGCCATCAATAAGAGGTAATGAACGTGTAACTGGGACAGTGACAGCATTTACCTTGGGGAAGTCTTTACCTGAAGACTTTATATCCACGACAAGGGGAACTCCATTGACTAGAACTTGGCACTGCAAATCCATTTTACACGAGGTAGTCAACCTGTTTCTTCATGACTTTCCTCTTAGCAGGACTAGCCCAATGGACACGGTGCTTAATTGGTTTTGGGTCAGTCAGAACAATGTCATGAGTTATGACAAGTTTAAGAGGAAATGTCATTAAGCAGACACATGAGTTTCTCAACATCCTTATGCTGGTAAGATGAGACAAGTAGTGGGGCAAATTGGACAATATCTCAGTGTTGCTTATGCCCTGTGGTTTAGTATTACACATTAGGAACTCATCATCGTCATCAGGAGAGCTCACCATTGAAAGCTAATGTGTCGTAGAAATTCTTCCCAAAATTGAGAGGTGCTAATTCTCTGAAGAACTTTCAAGCCAGTGTGGTAATCAAGACACTTTAATACATGCAGCATGGAGAGAAGACCACATCATGAGTATTCTCTCTAGACTTCCAAAATGCTCTCCCTTATATACATCTCAATACATCGTAAAACAGTGAACACCCTTGTTTGTCTTGTTTATGTTATTAATGAAAAAGTCCAGGTCTCTCCCACAAATGGTCTTGAGAGCTGTGACCCAGCAGCCAGCCAGCAGCTTGACACACATGGCAGGTACGACAGTGATTAACAATATCTGATTTGAGTCCTGGCCAAAAGAAATGTTTAAGGACTCTGCTATAAGTTTTGGTGTCCCCCATGTGTCCTGACCATGGTGATCATGATCCGAGGACTGTACCTGAGAACGAGAGGCTGTAGACACAACAACCTGGTAAATTGAATTCCAGTCCACATCTTCTGGAACATAATTTGTCCAGCGACGCATCAACAAGCCATCATCAAGAAAGTAAGCTATTTTCATCTTCTTGGCTTCTTCCTTGCTAAGAACAGAGGAGTGACATTTTATAAGGGTGATATCACCTTGTTGTGCTACAATGAATTCCCCCCGGGGGATTTTACAACCAATGGACTGGAGAAGGATGTCACAGCGTCATTAGGTTGGACCTAGGTTTGGCCTAGTCTCTACAACATCTGGAAAATCTTCTGTGACCAGAAAAGAGTCAGACAAGTCAAGACCGTATTGCTTTGACTGGGCCCTTGTAACCACACCAGCAGGAAATATGTCAGGAAGCATTCGTGCTGTTTTGTCAGACTCAGGGCTGTCTAGTACCTCAGGCACTGGCATAACCTTACCCCCAGCTAAGTCATTGTTCTGAATAAAATCTGCACCTTTAATAGGCAAGGCAGGGAGAACAGCAACTTTAAAGAGTCCACTGACCAGGGAAGACTGAACATGGACATATTGCAAAGGGGCAGGTATGAAACTCATTCCAACACCTTAAACAACTGCACATGAGTGACATGACGAATGGGGTGATAAAGGTAAGATGCTTTCATGAATAATGGACTGGGGGCCTCCTGAGTCTCTAAGTGTTGTTACTGGCTGCTGATCTTTTGAATCTCCAGTAAGCAACACAGAACCCTCTAAAATGAAGGGTTTAAAACAGGGGCTCATTATATTTGTCTGTGTATTTTTGTGACATTTCGTTATTTGGTTAGATGTCGCTGTAGATTTAGCAGTACAGTACTGTAAAACCAACAGTACAATACCACATTTTTTCATTACAGTAAAATACCTCAGTTTATATTGCATTCTTGGTCATTTTGATTAAGCGGGAATATTATACAGTATATTTTGGCTTGCTGTAACCTTACTGTAACCTGGCTGTAATATGCCATGGCAATAATACAGGATTACTGTAAATAGCGAAAGTGCGGCACCCGACTTCACATCACGCGGAACACCTAGCTCGTTGTTCAGCCGCAGATACTGGAGAAGGAGAAGTGCTACCCGGTGGATTGCAGTTACAACATCAACGTGTCACAAACACAAAATTGTTAATCATTTTGATAGTTTGTTGAGTTGTAGAAAGAGAGACGGTGTTGATTACTGTAAGGTTTTTCTCCAAAGTCATATTGCACTAGTGGGCGAAATGTGTTCTACATGAAGACGTAATCCCGGTGAAATATGGTCTGAATGTGAACATTCAATCAACGTCTTCAAATAGTCGGTGACAAAACTTTCACTTTTGAACCAGTTTTGAACGTCTTTTCACTGGAGACCATAGTCGTTTCGTCTTTTCAACCAAAAAAATGCTCACTGGGAATGCTGCAATATCCTCCCACACCGAGTACGTTTCTAGCTAACCTTGTCACTTTAGTGTGGATAGCAAGTGGCTACATTTAAAAAATTTGTACAGAAAAAACATTTAAATCAATATGTGGCGGTCAATGGTGATATTGTGGCAGGCGGCCACAAATAAATCAGTGTATGGGAAACACTGTGGGGTTAGAGAATTTAGCTAGTTGGGTTTGATTCTAGCCTTTTGACTTAAACTATTTATTCGTAAGGTTATTTTTACCACGGTTAATGAAGTTAATGATCAAAGACATGTAAAATGCATGCCATGGCAAAACTGCTATCCATTGTCTCGTAAATCCCGCGCCTGAGTTGGAAAGCGTAATCTTGCAGCCATCTCGCGATATTTCACTGAGACCCCCGAGCTAGGGTGAACGTACGACTCGTAAAACAAAGATGGCAGTGCCCATATTGAGATGTATTTTCTTTGTATTTGTACTACGTTGGTCGTTTTAATGTCGATTTTAAATGCTCCTACACACTTGTTTACATTGCTGCTTTAGTCCGGTCACCAATTTATGCATTGCACGGTGTTGCTGTGCGTGCAATACAATGTAAAGTTTTGTTTTCGAGCTGGTTTGCTAAATAGACTAATGTAGCTAGCAATAACACTAGCCTGCCACTGCCCCTGGTGGCCCCTGGTGGCCCTTGGTGGCTCCTGGAGGCCCTTGGTGGCCCCTGGTGGCCCCTGGTGGCTCCTGGAGGCCCCTGGTGGCTCGAGACAAACGCCACAGCACTTTTTGAAACTGAAATAGGTGAAAATGGCAAAATATTATTGAAATGTAAGACTTGCAATAACGTAATTATTATTTCTGTAGAAAAACATTTTATTAATTTACACTAACCTGAAACCATACCCAAAAAACAATAACAACACAGCTGTGGCACTTCTTTCCAACTCGTAATACCCAAAGACAAACTGGAATGCTATAATTGGTACAAGCCAGGCAATTACGTCACGTTCGCGCGTCAGAGCAACTCGGGTGGGGGATTTACGAGACAAATGGATCGCATAGTATATATATATATATATATATAATATTATGTATTCAGCAAGGTCAAGCATAAGCTGATATTTACTAACCTTGATGTATTGTTGGAGTGAATGAAATACACAGTGATGTATTAGCTCATATCCCCAAAAAGTAACACATCATGGAATCAAATATAATTTGCTTTCTCATAGTGTGGTCCATTGTCTTTGCACCCTGCGGAGGGCATCCCTGCCGTCAGGGGTTGGTGCAGTTTATGAGTTTTCTGTAAGTATGATATGCCATAATAATACATGTTTTTAAAGTTTAACATTTTTTTGTATTTTGTTTTGCTACAGAAATTTCTTTCACCATTTCTCTCTTGTGCTCTCTGTCCATCTCTCTCGGTACTGTGGCTAACAGGTTTTGTACTTGTCTTTGTGTGTTTTCTTTGTTACAGTGTGTGATCTGAGTTTCACCATTGCTGCGATCTTCACTGGGTTCCCAGGCAGTCATTCCAGTCCACTTATCTGCCAAAGTCATCCCTGCCAAGCTTTTAGTATGTCCAGCTACAACTGCAAGTCATGCAGTTTCTCAACCTCTCTCTTAAATACTTTCACCACACACGTAAAAGTACACAGGAATGTGGCTAATCATTGCTTTGCATGTGGTATACCTGAGTGCCCTTGCATTTTTAGGAAATTTCAATCTTTGAAGTCTCATATGTATCGGCACCATGGCAAGGCAAAAATGGCACCAATTGAAGATAAAGCTCAACCCCAGAATGTTATATTGTCATGCCAGGTTGAGGGTTACAAATTTCAGAGCACTGTTTTTTCAAGTCTGCGTGCACACTTGAAATGGCCTATTAGGGATGGGACTTGAGTGCATTAGTCTTCTCTACAAACATATTTATTGACTGGTATGATATTGGTTACAGGTTTCTGGTCAGGATCAACCCTGAGGATGGCAAGAAATGCTCTGCCAGACAGGGAGTGAGCAAAAAGACTGGGAGGGTGGTGCAGAGGAAGGCCATCAACCCCCATGTCAACAGTTTCATTCGGTCCTTGATGGAGTTTGAATGGAGGACTTCAAACTGAGGGTATTATAGTAAAGGTATTGTTGTTGTTGAAGGTATTGTTGTTGTTGTTGTTGTTAAGGTTAATGAAGTGTTTTTGTTATTTTTCTGATCTGTTTCTGTTGCTCAATTTGCACTGTTCTCTGGGCTGAATGTTGTCAGTAACAAAATGTTTATGAAATGTATAATGTCAATGAAAGTTGTATTGATTGAAAAAAAAAATATTTTTATTAAGAACATTGTTTGGTTGCCTTTTGATTTGTAATGTTATTCTGAAGTATAAAATTACAATATCAGTAGCATTTGAGATTATTATATAATTAAAATATATATTATCATTGTTAGTAATAATAATAATTATTAGTAATTATTATAATTAGTAATACATAGCAGTGATATCAATATTAAAATAACTGCAGATATTACAGTACAATATAATAAAATACTGTAGAAATAGACAAAATACAGTAAAAAATACAGTAAAATACTGTTTTGTAGTAATACAGTATGTTCTATATACTGTAAATTTCATTACAGTACAATTACAGTAGTTTATTGTAAAGCAAAATACAGCAACTTGCTGGCAACTGTGCTGCCAGTAACGTACTGTAAATATACAAGGAAATGGTTTTAGTGAAACACTGTTTTAAAGACATCCATTCAGCAATAATGTCACTTGTTCAATAGAAAGATTGCTAGGATCGGTTTTCACAGGGCTCGAACATTTTGTCAGGTAAAGCCCTCTTGAAGTCTTCCAACAACAATATCTGACGAAGAGGCTTTCTTCAACTGAAAGAGAAGACACAACCTCCTGTGCTTTGTCCACAAGTTTGCACTGGAGTAAGATCGGGCACATGTCTTTGGGCCAGTCTAGTGCAGTACCAATTCTTTCAAATGAACTGACTCTGACTCCTGAGATATTGGCACCAAAGCAATATTTTTGCTGACATCAAAACCTTGTTTGAAAGCAAATGGTTATGTTTGTAATGGTGTAGATCTCTCCGATGTGTATGTATGTAATGTTTGCACAGAAGAAATCTTCATGTCCTCAATTTCAAGCTCCCGTAAACTGATTTCTTTTTCTGCCTCAATCTCAAGCTTGCGTACCTCTAGTCGGAGGTTATAATCTGCTTCACGAACCATCTCTTTTTCTTGTGCTTCTATCTAAGGGCAAGCCAGTCAAACCTTAAAGTGTCCTGCAATACACAATAAATCATCCTTATGACAAGAATCAACTTTAACAATAACAACAATAACTCAACAAGAATGATTGTCTTGGCTTAGGGAAAAATATCTTGGATGAACCCCCGATTGGTGTCAAGTATATAGAGAGCAAGACAATATGTTAAATAGTGAGTAAGTTATTACATGTTTTCATGAAGCTGTGATAATGTTTTAAATATACAGTATGCCTTTTAAATGCTCCTGTCTTATCTCTTTTCTTGGTGACAGCTTCTGTTCCTCTGAGTCCCGATCAACAGTCAATAGTGGCTGTGCCTGCTCTGTGGGAGGTAATGTTATAGTTAGATAAATAAAATAGCTGTTGAGCCAAAAATAAAAACACCTCCAACCATCACAGTTGCAGTGTGACCAGATGAAAGTGATAATAGAGAAATGGTTGCCAAGTAAATTTCCTTTTGTTATTTTCTCCCCAGATTTCTAGTTTCTCCAGGACCTGGAGAAGTATGATACTGGCACCTTTTGTCTCAGGTACTAATTTATATATATAGAGATATAAATCTATATTACAGAGAGTAAGACAATATGTTAAATACTGAGAAGATGGTGATAGTGAGTAAGTAAATACACAGAGTTATTACATGTTTTCATGAAGCTTTTAAATGCTCCTGACTGTCTTATCTCTTTTCTTGGTGACAGCTTCTGTTCCTCTGAGTCCCGATCAACAGGCAACACTCTATAGGACGTTTGTTCTCCTCCTCAAGTATGCTTTACTCTTCTTTAACCATTTATCACCAACTGTTCTGCATGCTAGCACAATGTAGCACTTTTATGGAGTGATATTACTAGAATACAAATATTCAATGAATGTATTGCTAGATTTCACTGTTGTCCTTTTGGTTGCTGTGGTTCTTTTCTAAAACTATACTGAGTCATAAAAACAATCTTTAAAGATCTCCTCCTGGTATACACTGAGTCTTATAAAAAAATAGTCTGCTTGTAACAGTAATGAGTTTCTGATATGGCTGGGGGGTTTTTCCACATTAAAATCTTTAAATCTTCTATATGTAACTTTCAGTTAACCCTAGCTTAGTTTAAACGATGTAGGCGGATGCCCCTGCCTTGCAACACTCTTTGCTAGTTGAATGCACGTTGTTTGCTTTGTATCTTTAAAAAAAAGCAACTGCTCCATCAAAGTCAGAAAACTATTTTAATTGTTCCAACCGCAAAATCTTGTCAGTTAGCACAGATACATCTTCTTCAGGAAATTTAATTTTACTGTTGTTGTAATAAAATATAAAAATACATATATATAACATTTGTGGGAGGTGAAAACATTGATGGTTTTAGCTGCAGCAGGGTGAAGAAGTTAAACCGGAAAATAGGTCTGATGGTATGAAGATATAATGTTAAGTTTGGCTATGTTGCCATAAACAAAAGAGGTTCTGGTGCGTTTACACACATTTGCATGGTTGCAACTTTAATTGCCATTTCATTGTATTATATTACATTATAACATGACACTGCAGATCAGTGAGACTGTTTTAACCTTTATCAAACACTTCAAGCATCTGGAGCAGCTGCAGGACTACCTGATCAGCCAGAACTGGTAAGTTTTGGGAGTTTTTCAGAGTTTGTTTGTTTGTTTTTAGCAAATCAAACAACAACGTGGTACAAAGATTGGTGCGTGGGTAGCAGTGGGCTGGAGACTAACAAAAAGAGATATTTGATGTATCCTCAACTTAGACTCTTTTCATCTTACATTACTGGTGGTAAGATAGAGCAGCCAAATTCCAGCAGTCAGAGTTAAGGCAGCCATATTGAGAAAGTGGTCAGAAACCACCAGAATAATGAAAAAACATCATACCCAAAAATCGATAACCCAAATATACTTAAAATAGTATCTAGATTGCTATTGCCCATTTAAGTGTATTTCACAGAGGCGTGGGCAGTTTCTTTGTTTTAGTGCATGCACATAAATAAAAGTAAATACTTTTTATTCTTGGCTTTTGTTTCTTTTATTTAGGTTTTCATTTTAAAAATCTTACTTTCACCCATGAATACAAAGTTTATGGTTCCTGCCTCACAACTTGAGACCATATTTAGTAACCACTATTTAGGGGTACCTTTTTGTAATAAGTTTCATTTGCAGTCATACAACTACCCACGCATCATTTGATCCCAGAGATACAATGAAGGTCAAAGCCACATTGAGTTATTCCACCAGTCTGAACCAACTTCTCTTTTAAATTTACTTGAATTCTGAATTGTCATTTGGGAAGCTGTGTCACTTTTAATTTTAATATTGTGTTGAAATTGCACAATTTACAAAGCCAAGGCCAAAATGAAATTAGTGTTACTGTTTGATCTCATTTTAGAAATACATGTCATCCACTAATGTCTGCATTGTAAGACCTGAGGTTTATTAGTAGCCTAACTGCTTAAAAAAAACTTACCAGGTGTAGTAGTTCTCTGCTCATTACCTGGCATTGCAGATTCCGTATGAACAGTAATATAAGTATTACTGAGTCACACCACTTCCCTTTGTGTTTAGAATAAATGAAAGCGCATTTATGTGCAATGTCAAGGGGACATCAGATACTAAACACCAGCAGTTGCTAAGTTTTAGTCTAACTAAAAATACAGTTGTGTGTCATGTTGTTCACTCATTCATGTAAATTAAGTTAGTATGTATTGTAATGCAATGCCTTCTATTCTAGTTGTTCTTTATGTAGGAAACACTATAAATGATTGAATAAGTTCATAACAAGCAAGCATCCACAGTTTATAAAATCCATTTTCTCCAACTTGTGTAATTTTTTTCATTGGATATGTAAGAGACAAGGCCATTTTGACCAGACTTGTTCTTGGTAAGTCCTACTCTAAATATTGTGTCTCTTCTTGTAAAGTGTTATCGGATTTCAGTATGAATCCTTGATTTATTTTGTCTATGCTGCTCAATTCTTGTAGTTCTACTCTTCTATTTACTGAGGCTAAAACACCTTACATGCACTTCATGTCAATTGGAAGTCAAATGACATAATCCAAGGAAACATGCCACAGCTCTGTGATGAGGATAAAAGTCTTTACTTGTTCAAACATTTGGAGACATTTTTATCATCATAAAATCATCTTCATATCTCTTAATCTGACATGGTTTCATTATGTTGTTGTTGTTTTCTTATAATTACAGGATGGTATTTTATTTATATGAGGTAATAAGTGTGAAAAAAACACAACTATGTTTGTGAGTTAAGGTTTAGTTTATAAGTAGGACAAAATAAAAGTATATAGTTGCAGCCTTACGATAGCATTTGTTTCCCAAAAGACATTTAGATTTTGCAGTCATATAGATAAAATATAGTAAAAATAACACAACTTAAGGCAATATTTAATATCTATAGTAGAATTACCATAAAAATACAAAGTAATATCTTGCTGTAGCACTTACTTAACACAAACACAGCTTTTGGAGAAGCATTTTAGTTTTAAAATGTTAGCTACATCCATCGCAATGATTTCCTTGACTGTGGCTTTTTGATCACAGCTGGCTGAGCGACTGGGAGCCTGTTTCCCGAGTTTTCTTCTCCGTACTTTCATCAGTCTTTGTTTGGGGCAGATGAAGAACTTTCCTGCAGATGTTCTTGATTGTAGAGCTGGAGAAGTAGTAGACCACAGGATCCAACGTGCTGTTGAGATAGGTCAGGCTAATGGTGATGTAAAATACGGTGGTCAGGTTTTCCAGGG